TCCGCTCTGCACCCCCTCCCTTCCCCGCCACTGGGCAGGGATGACCCGGCCCGGCTCTGACTTAGGGTCTCGAGCGACGCTCGACGTGAGCAGAGAATCCGGCCGCAGAGTCCTGGCGGCTCGCTGCTCGCCAACCTCTGCCAGGCACACATCTGGAAGACGGCCAGGGTGCGGTCCATTGTTCAACTTCAGCAGGTCCACCCAGGGTCCTGCAGGAACAGACGCCGGCCGGTGAGCCCTGCCCGCCCGGCGCACCGGCGCCCTCCCTGAAGACCCGACAAAGGCGATCAGGATCCTCCGGACCAGCGAGCCCGGACTGACAGGGAGGCACAGCGTCCGCGGCGTCGGGGGGCGCGGCGGCGGCTCCATCCGTCCAGCTCACTTGAACACCTCGGGTCGATTGGTGCCGCCCACCGCGCTGCGCCAGCTCTTACAGCATCCATCTTCTCAGCGCTCAGCGCCTTCTTCCCGCCGCAGTGAGAGCTTCTGCCGGGCAGCTCCCAGCCCGGGGGCGCCGCGCGTCCCGGCCAGCCACTGCCGCCTGCGCCGACGCTCCCACCGTACCCTGCAGCGGTTGCGCCCGCCGCCCTCTCCCTGCAGCGCCAGTGCCCGGCCTCCCAGCGGCAGTGGCTGACCGCAGGGCCCGCTCCTTGGTGGTCAGGGCCCTAGGGAGGGGCCCCTGGCCGGCAGCACTGGTCATACTCGCTTTAGGGGGCGCACCCAGCCCGCATGCCAGGCATACATTTGAACGCTTCAGTAAATTTGCCTGTTGCAAGGAAGCGTAACAATAGGTCTTTTTTTTTTTTTTTTTTTTTTTGAGACGGAGTCTTCGCTGCCTGGTGTCACCCGAGGCTGGAGTGCAGGTGGGCCCGTCATCGGCGCTCACTTGCAAGCTCCGCCTCCACCAGGTTCACGCCATTCTTCCTGCGCCTCAGCCCTCCGGAGGTTAGCTGGGACTACAGGCGCCCGCCACCCACGCTCCGGCTAGTTTTTTTGTATTGATTTTTTAGTAGAGGACAGGGGGTTCACCATGTTAGCCAGGATGGTCTCGATTCTCATGACCTCGGGCCTGGATCCAACCCGCCTCGGCCCTGCCCAAAGTGCTTGGATTAACAGGCTTGAGCCACCGCCGCGGCCGGAAAGCGCTACAATAGTCTTATCCGCGCCGGGTCCCACTAGGTGGGCGCTCCAGTCGGCACTGAAGCGCCCTGCCTTAGGCGCACGCTCAACTGCCTTGCTGGAGGAGAAACGGCGTGCTGCACTTACATGGTAATGGGAAGAGGACGCCACTGCGCAGGGCATTCAGTGTGGCGGCCCACCTTCCCCGCCGCCACTCCTCCTCGCCACCTCCCCCCGCTACCTGGGCGCCTTCGCTTGCACCGCGCGCCCTTCGATGTAGCCTCCTAAAGAGGCAGAGGCGCTTTCCTGCGTTGACGCCCCGCGCAGCTTTGATGATGACATTTCGGCCACCAGGTGGCCCGAATACGGGCTTCCAGCTCCGAGGCGGGGAACACTGGTTGGTCCCACAGGGTGGGCGGGGGACGGCGCGTGAGAGGGGTCCTGCGCCCGGCGGCTTCCCGGCTCTGGTCACACCTCCTGTATGCTCCTCCCCACAGCGCCCACCTCACTGCCACCCAGCGCCCAGGCCCAAGGGAAGGTGGGAAGGGGCTGAGGGACAGGCCGGGGTAGTGCACGGACTGCAGGCTGAGATGAGCAATTGAAGGACAGGTTTGCAAGGGGAAGAAGAAACTGGGAACAGAGTCCTTGTCGTTCCAGGGGATATTGCCACTCAGTCAGGAATTCTGGGTGCTGGGCCCAGCTCTCAGTGCAGAGGGGAGGTGGCTGGCAGGGAAGTGGGATGGTCCACTTGGGTCCAGTGAAGAGGGTGGGTGAGAAAGAGCTACCAGTGGATGGAGAGCAGAGGGGTTTCTGAGCAGTGAGAGCAGTAAAGGGTCCACAGGGGGGGGGATAGGAGGGGGGTGCAACAGGGCCCCGGAAGGTGTGAGCTGGGTGGTGGGAGGCAGTGGGAGGTGAGAGGAGTGCGGTCCAGGCGCTGGTGGCCCGAGGGGGGGAGAGGAGGAGATGCAGGACCAGTCAGAGTGTTTCGGGGGCCAGCATGGTGGCTCGATGGCCTGTATCGCGCACTTGGGAGCGAAGGCGGGGGGTGGATGCGTGAGGGCCGGTGTAGAGGACCGGGAGGCCTGGGCAACAGTTGGCAAGAAACGCGTGCGGGTCGTGACAAGCAAACATAAAGAATGGTAGCCAGGTGTTGTGCATAATAGCGAGGGCCACTCGGGGGAGCGAGGGGCGAGGTGAGAGATGAGTTGAACCGGGAGGCGGGAGGTATGCGCGTGAGCTGAGATGCATTGCCACTGTCCTTCAGGGGGCCAGATGGGAGACAGCAGAGACGTCGGGTGTCAGAAAAAGAGAAAGTGGAGAGAGGAGAGAGGTGTGAGTGCAAGTGCATGGCGCTGGGGACGCTGGGGGAGTGAGAGGAGCGCAGAGGAGGTGGGGGGGGTGCCATGTGGTGAAACGGGGGGGGTTCCAAGAGAAGTGGGAGAGGAGGGCACAGAGAGCACGAGGGGACAGGAGGGACTGGCATGCTGGACCCCTCAGGGTTTGTAGCTTTTCAGAGGGATGCTGGGTCCGTAGGGCTGGAGGCAGCGGAGCGCAGGGGATATGAGGCACAGAGCGGCGTGGGAGGGGGATGCGCGTGCGGTGGGATGAGGGGAAGGCTGGGTGGGGAAGGGTGGAGGGAGTGGGGCAGAGATGGGGGCACTGCCAGGACGGTGTGCGGGAAGGTGGCGGGGGGG